GACAACTGTAAATATATAATCAGAGCGTTGGATTAACATGATATAACCCAGATTTGACATTCATTGGACTGTACAAATTAAGGCAACGGAGTTAGCTCCCATGAACCTATTCCATTTCCTGGATTTAATTTGTGTGATATGTTCTATAATTAACATGCATTTCTCAATACGAAGTTTTAGTTGACTGTATGTACTTTAATTAAAATCTTCATCAGAGTCTTGGCAATATCAAGTGGATCCCAAATTATAGATTTGACGTCTATCTGCGTAGACGATACAGTATATGATTTGCGCGATGTACGTTATAAAATTATTTAGAACCACTGAGTATTTTAACAAAATACAAAACAAGTGAAACTCCAAAAATCGATAACATTTTTATTTATCTACGTTTCGACTATATTTCAGTCATCGTATCATCACTTTATCCTGATGATGACTGAAATATAGTCGAAACTTAGATATCGATTTCTGAAGTTTCACTTGGTTTGTATCTTATACGTTAAACTATTATGCATGATGAAGTCCTAGTATGCTGCTGTAAGGTACAGTAAATGTATACATTTTTAAAAATACGACTACATATATCGTACGTTATTTAGGCACATTCACACCGGTGAGCTGTCAATACTGACTGTATCCCACGCCAGATTCAGATCATAACCTGGATTCGGATAACCTTCAAGAACATGTTCCTTTTTCCTGTTTTTTCGCCGTCCCCGTCTTCTTAACTCGGTCTCTTGAGACTGATATCTCTCTTCCCGTCTGTTTTCCAGCACATCACCTCTTCTTCTCGATTGTCGGCGGCGTCTTCTTTCTTTTACATCTCCGTTTTGTGTCTGTGACGTGGTATTAGGACGGTGTCTTCGCTTATTTCCTCTGGGACTGTCATCCGCGTTTCCTGTAAACCACCGCGGTAACATTTCCTGCAAAGTGGAAACAAAGCCTTTTGATTCTTGTTTTTGGGGTGACCGACTATCGCGTGAACCACCTTTTCCTGTTCAAGATTAATATACAGTATTTCGGTGTTTTGTAGTATTTGATTTCCTATGAGGTTATTCGTGTTGTGATAAATGGCTCCCTAAGTGGAATCGTGAATATGCCTTAAATCATGCGTGTCCATTTCCTCCTGGGACATTTGTTGGGCAGTGAGAATGAGCAAGAATCCACTATGGGGTCCAAATACAGGAACACAATCGCAAGACTTGAAAATGATCAAATACTCCACCGTTGGGCTTTGGGAGCAAAATAACCATCCTCGGTGTACTTAACGTTAATAACAATCCAATATATAACCCTAAGATCTGAATGCGTTCTGTATTCAACACTGCATTCGAGACGATTTAACTAACAAAAGTGCTATACATAGCAATGCAAATAAATATTATAATTCGACCATTTATCAAAGTCGAGAAAAAGAGCAACTTCAAAACCTTTTTTAGCAGTTAATGAACACTGTAAATTATTTGTTGTACATATTGCAGTGAACGTTACAGTATAATAAACTAATAACACTGAACATTGAATGCCTGTACAAATTTCCAACCATGCCGGGGAGGACGCAAAGGAGGGAAATAAACTCCCTACCCTAGAAACAAGTGAAGTCGCAAAATGTCCGAAAAATTCTCAGGGGGATATTCCCACGTTGAATTAACCAAGCCACAAAACTAGGTGAAATCCTAATAAAATATTTATATTTAAACATTTCACTTTAATGGACGGTATTCTAATCGCCATGCAGTATAAGTCAAAGTGTTTACATACATATGAAATTAATGCAAACGTGTAAGGCTGAAGTTAATAACACACAAACTTAAATTCACGAGCAGAATCAGGAGCTCTTATTCTGACTTGGCGGAAATGCGTCGGTTTGCCTTTAAAATTAAGAATAATAATAAAAAGTTTGTTGATATTTGCTATGCAATTTTAAAATATATTCCAGTCACTGAAAAGATTGATTATATAGATAAAATTGGCCAAGGCTTGTTATTGGCACCGGTGAGTTCCAGTCACTACGTGTTACGGAGGAGTAAAAGGTGGCCCATGTCAAGCTCACATGTGAAAGTCTCCCAGGGATTTCTAGGGAACAAGGGAGCATGACTATATTGCATGGAAATAAGGGAACAATACCGTAAATATCATATGGAACTAGGGAACATGGAAGCTTCGGGAACAAAGGAACAAGTGAGGATAATTGAGCCTCCCCCGCCCCTCCCCCGCCTACCCCAATAATTTCCATTTGGAAAAGCAAAACACACAAAAGAACTAGAAAAGTGCGAAAGCAAATTCAGATTTATTCCTGAGCCCCCCCCCCATATTTATTTATTTCCGACTGCCTTGTAAAGGCGTGAAACATTAATTTTTTTCGCCGTTTTGCACCAAAACACAATGATCGTGCTGCCATGGGCGGCCCATGGCTAACATGACGCGAGCAACGCGAGCCTGCATTCAGAGTTGGTGTATTTAAGAATAATACTTCATGTTGAAATAATGTTTGGAAAATGAGAGCGAGAGGTTGTTGCATGCATGTAGTAATTTCTATGCTCCCGACAGCCGGCCATATTTTTGAGATCAGTCATCAGTGAAATAACCGGATGAACTTTCTAACCCACTGTATTTTTTTTCTCTTTTCGGCCCACGCGTGCAATTAGCCAAGCTGAAATAGTACCCTCGCAGGCCTCACTGCGGAACTCGCGCGTATTCGGCGATTAAAAAGCTAGTATAATAGCAAGGTTTGCAGCTTGTGCTATTTTGATAGTCTTAGTTTGAAAAACTCACTCAGCTCGTGCATCGATTATATCCAAATTGCGCTTGAACCATGTTATCACCTACACATAGTCATAGAACAATACTTTTGAAAAACAAACATTCATTACCTGAAGTACCAAGGTTCAACATCTTTCTAATTTCTTCCAAGTCATTCGCCATATCATCATCATGTTATAACGCCATCAAAATCTGACGTCTTGTCTTTGCCGTATATTTTCTCACAACGGTCATTCAAAATACTCTTTGCATTGAGGATATCATCATAAACTTCCGTTTCGATTGCCTTGCTTTCTTCACCTTTGTTCCATGGCGCCACCTGTATTTTGATAATTTCAGGACTGCAGTTCATTCTCATGTATTCCTTGTAGTGCGATTTTTGACCCTTTATCAGGCACTGTTCGGATTTGACAATTTTTATGGCTCTCTGCATGATAGTGTTGGAAACCGCATTGCTGTATATACCCGGGTAAACGTATCACTTAGCAACGCAATAAGTAAATTCAACGTGACGATGGTCATTGCAGTAACATAGAGTGCAACAAGTATTCGCACTACAACTGCGTCTGCTGCTACAATCTCCTCCGAGTTAAAATCATCCCCGATGGCTATCTGGAAAACACGATAAAGCAGTTCGCCAGTCGTACGATACCCGTGAACAGGATATATCGAAAGTGGACCAAAAATTAGCCAGAAGGAAGCGGCGAATGGCACCATGATTAAAAAGAACAAGAATGCCCAATTCATAAAATCCCCCATAGTCTCGGAAAGGATCAAAACCAAAGTCCCGAAGCCTGGAAAAGGGCGTACAAACTTCAACAAACGTAACCAAACGAGAAGATTCATAATACTTATTGTTCGAGTATAGATGTACCACGTGGCCCTCGTGTCCAGGTAAAGAAACACGAAGTGTGTAGCAATGGTAGCGACGATCAAAAACAAAATAATCCAGTCCATATAAAACCAAGCATCGTAAGCATAAAACAAAGGCAAGGCACGCACTCTCTTCATTTCGGTTTTCACGAATTTCTTCTCCTGCGGCCACCTTGGATGGCAATACTTCAAGTCGTATTCAAGTTGTTCCATTTTCCATTTGATCCAATTTCTTTGAGATCTTCGAGACTTGAACGTAGCTAAATTGGGAAAGTATTAAAACCAGTTATGTTGCATGATAATAATACAAAAAAACATGCTAATCTAATTTTTTCTGGCTCAGAAAAATGACGTCAATATACTTGTGTTTGGGGGCCATCTCGTTTGAATTTTTAAGTTTAATTTACCCGTTTAAAGGACAATGGCAATAATTTTTTTTATTCCTGATATTGGTAAAACTGGACCCCCTGATTACGAATATGCCATTAGTTTTCATCAAAAATGTTTTGTTCTCGAGTTATTTCACCATAAATATTCAGTACGTCCGCCATCTTGGATCGATTTTCAAAAAAATTATCTTTTGGGTCACATGACGTGTGTGACGTCAAGAGCAGGGTAGAATCAAAACAACAAATATATTTTATTAGGCGCGTATTGCGACTTCGTACTTCTAGTGAGAAATTTGGCGCTTTTTCATCACTCGGATGGAAAATATCCACGATATCAAGTAGATAAGGTATTACCTTATCAATTTGAACCTAAACTGGGCTTACAAACAAGCGATAGCGGTGACGAGAGCGACTCCGAAGAACAGAGTGAATCGTCTGACGAGGAAATCACGATGTGTAATGTGTTTGAGGTCGAAAATGCTTGGCGCATTACACATTGAAGCCAAAAGATATTGAATTGTTTTGTTGCCACGATAAAGCGTTAGACTACGATGAATAAGATGCATGATTAAAGGAGGCTGAAACCCAAGGGGAGAAGTGCTCGACTGCCTTTACAACACTGTCAATACATGCAGAATTGAAAGCAAACATGCTTGTCGGAAGGGCTATTAAATAGACGTTTGTCGCTATCTTGAAGATATTAAACTGGCCTCTGGATGACAAAGATTTGGACAAGATACACAAAATTTATAGACTAGTAGCTTCCAACGATGTTCGCGTTGGGTATTTGAGATTTTGGGGAATAAGAACAGAAGGCCACTTCACGGCATGCGTGTGTTCACACAATAATAGACAAATCCCATTATAGAGTAATTTTAAAACTAGGCAAGGAGATGCAAATAAATCACGACAGCTAGAAAGAGCATACTAAAATGAGTAAAATTGCAAAGTTTAGTTGCGAAATGTTGTAAAATGCGGAACATATAGCCTTGCAAAGTTCGCAAATTTTGTATACTTTTGTATTGCGTGCGGAAATTGCTAATTTTCGGCCCAAATGTGGTAGCAATTAACGCACGCAATACAAAAGTATACAAAATTTGCTATGTTTTCCGCATTTTACAACATTTCGCAACCAAGCTTTGCAATGTTACCCATTTTAGTATGCTCTTTCTAGCTGTGGTGATTTATTTGCATCTCCTTGCATAGTTTTAAAATTAGTCTATAATGGGAATTGTGTATTCGAGAGCGGTTTGGGGCTTTGAGATTGTTTGAATGTTCATTTATTCAAATTTGGCTAAATCTATACTCTTTTAATAATAACTCTATAGTATGTGCCGATTACATGAAGCATTTTCAAGCCTGGGGATAAACTAGTTTTATACTGTTGACAGCGTTGAAATTTGTTCAATAAAGTAGCCCTCGGCCTGGGTGCTCGAAACAGGTTTGAAATTTAAACTGTTTTTGAACTGAGACAAAATCCAAGGTTGAAGATCTTCTAATTCCTTCGATGTAATCAGCTTTATTATATAATGTGCAGCATGCAACCCCAATTTCCTACAACAAATGTTATTATAATTTGCAATTGTCCTATTATCTATTAAAGTGCAGTGGTGTATATATTAATGCTTTATTAAAATTAAGTTTATAAACAAATTTGTTCTCATTATTTATATCACAAAACGATTTTTGCACGCGAATTGCAAAGAATCAAAACATATTCTCAGTCATTTTATAGTATTTATTTATGCGATATTGTTCCTGTTGATGTGGTCATAGCCGTGATCACCGAGAACAGTGAATATAAAAGTCTACAAAGTAGGCGAGCATATTGTCATATTGACATAGTACCAGACTATGCATATGGCCAATCATTTATAATCTAAGAGCTTTTACCGCCGAAATCAACGCGTTTATTTCAAAAACACAGCTGAAACACACAGTAGAGTAGTAGCGCTAAATTTTTACGCAGTTATACAAAAAAATTTGGAGTTCATCCGCACTTTTTGGTCAAAATCTTCGTAGAATGTGTTCGCACGCATACTATTTTATATTGACAATATTTGTTTCCCCTGCTCTTGACGTCACAAATTTATTCTCACATAAATTAGCATACCAGGTTTTTTTCAAGATGGCGGACGACTGTAGAAAGTTTTATGATATTTCTGAACAACTAAACGCGATAGACAAGTGAAAATACGTAATTAAGTATTCCGTAGGTATGTTTAATAGATATCGAGAATAAAAAAATTTATTGCCATTGTCCTTTAACCCAATATTTTTGGATTGTTTTAATAACTGCTTACTATGTTATAGGGTAGTTCCAAGATATATGATCTGGAATAAAGAATATAATTAGGGAAGCGTTTAATGCTCCATGTATGGAAAGAACTCAAGCTGTATTCCTCGTATATAGACTGTATAGTATAATATTATAGTATGTATATAATAGTATGTATAATGTAGTATTGCGTAATATACCTATAATACATATGATACCTCAGCGTATTCTATAATAACTGTGACGTAGACTAATCGATCCATATGTAAACGCGTGTACATACGATATTGTAAAACTTATTAATAATTATTTATTTATTAAATTTACAATCATACAAAAAATATAACAATGATTGAAGGTATGGTCAACGGGACATGAGTCCCATGTAAAGACCAACCTGATACAATACAATAAGTAGACATACATTAAAGACAAGGATTATAGAACACTATTTACATAGCTATATAAAAAATAATAGTTTAGATTATGAGCAACAGCTTAAGTTGAAAGAACGGCATTTAGAGCAGTAGGTTTTCCAAGTGCGCATTCTGTTAACATCGAAAGAAGAGTCTAATTGAGAAGAGTAGTGAGAATGTAGCTGGAACTTAAAGGATGAAACAGACGAACTGTTACGAATGATTGGAGAGAGATTGTTCCATAGAAAGACAATTCGGTTAAAAAAAGAGTTTCTAAAAAGAGAGGTTTTGCACGGATTGACTTGAAGCAAGTTGTCCTTGCTTGAACGGATGCGAGATGAGCGATTAGAAGAAAAGGTGACAAAAGAGGAGATATCTAGGTCGTAGAGGCCTTGTTTGCATTTGAAAAAAAAGATGAGATACTTTATTTCAAGCCAGTAAGATATAGGCAATAAATTAAGTTTCCTATGACGTTCAAGATAAGACAACTCATAATCTTGAAGTATAAATTTAGTAGCTCGTCTCTGAACACCCTCCAGGATCACAAGATTGCGTGACGAGGCTTGAGGTGCCCAGATCTCACTGGCGTAAGACAGGTGAGATCGAACAAGAAAGAGGTAGAGAAGCCGACGGCAGCGAGTATCAGTCATTTGAGAACAATTTCTCCGAAGAAAACCAAGCTGACGGTTGGCTTTAGCAGTACAGCTGGCAATGTGAGGGGACCACTTAAGGTCATTGCTCACAACCACACCCATGTCGACTTGTTAGGCTACAGTCTTAATAGGTTGATTGTTAAGGTGGTAAGAGTGAGTTGGAGAGTTGCGTTTCCGAGATACCCTGAGCAAGAGCGTCTTAGATACATTAAATTTCAATTGCCAAGAGATCGACCAGTTGTGCATAGAGTCAAGATCAGTCTGTAGGAGATCTCGATCGGCTGGTGACTGAATAGCACGGTAACATTTACTGTCGTCAGCAAAAAGTGCAACAGTAGAATTCTTAGTTACCTCTGGAAGATCATTCACATACAAAATGAAAAGTAGTGGACCTATGACACTACCTTGTGGCACACCAGATTTAACGTTAAGGAAGGATGAAGAAACTATGAAGAAATGAAATGTTTTTCCATATATACAAAATGAAATGAAATGAATTAAATGCAACCTCTCCACGAACCGATTTGTATGTGATCCGATACAACATGCCCGCTCAATTTCATGCCGTATACTATATATTCCATATAGATAGGGATTATGTTGTGTCTAGGATTTGTAACTACTAGTAGTTCAAAAATTCTTAATTAAGATAAATTTGTAACACTGTAGGTAAACTAGTTACTTCATTCCATCATGACTTGTCTCGGTAACTATAATTACTTTTATGATGATATAACTGTAAATGTAACTAGCTTAAAAATCATGTAACATTCACAAGGCTGCTAATAGGGCGTTTTGGTTTATCAAAACATCAAGTGGGTTGTGGCCAATCAAAGCATGGACAGCTCTCCTTATGAACAGCTCTCCTTATAATTCAAAGACCAACATTTAGTTTAATGTAGCAGCGCTACTGATTGAGTCGTCCTGAAATATTGTGTTGATATCGCGTTGGGATGTCAACA